GAGCGTCGCGGTCCCCTCACCTCTGCTTGGGGTCCTTCTTGAGCAGCCCCGCGAGCAGGGACTTGGCCTCGGGGCTGAGCGTGCGCGGGAAGCGGATCTCCTCCATGAGGATGAGCTCGAAGAGGCGCTCGTGGTCCTGGTTGTAGAAGGGCAGGCGGCCGCACATCATCTCGTACATGACGACGCCCAGGCCCCACCAGTCCACGGCGCGCCCGTAGTCGTTGTCCTCGAGCACCTGCAAGGGCCGCGAGCGACACCTCAACCCGGCGAATCTGCACGAAACGCCCCCGCGCCGACGCTCCGGATTACGGGAAAAGCTCCGGTACCTCCGGAGCCAGGTACTCCGGGGTGCCGCAGAAGGTCTTCATGGTGGCGCCGTCCGTGATGCCCTCCTTGCAGAGCCCGAAGTCTGTGATCTTGATGTGACCGTCCTTGTCCAGCATGAGGTTTTCCAGCTTTGGGGCGGAGAAGCGGAATGACGTTACCGGCTGCGGACGGAGGCGCCGCCGGGGAGCCCCGCTCCGCACGCCGGTACCTTGATGTCCCTGTACACGACGTCCCTGGAGTGCAGGTACTCCAGGGCGGACACTATTTCCGCTCCGTAGAAACGTGCCCGGTCCTCCGTGAACACCCGCTCTCTCGAGAGGTGGAAAAACAGCTTGGAGAGAGGCAAAAACAGCGGAGCAGCCAGTCAGCAAGGGCTTGAAACAGCACCAAGGCGCTAATCGCTCCGAGGACGCTGCTAATGCGGTCATATGTGTCCTAAGCTCCTTGCCCTGGACGTCCAAAATATTTACAGACCCGGAGAACATAATGCCAGGCTTTACGGGGCACAAGTGGGGAAAACACATTACGGGGTGGAAAAAAGAAGGCTGGAAGCGATTCCAGGGGGGAATTCACAGCCCACGAGCACGACGCCGTCATGTCCGATAGCTCCTTTCCAGTGAGAGGGAGGATGGGAGGCACTGGGAAGCGCGGAATTCCTCACCGGGATGACGGGTTTGTAATAGGAAAGGGCTCAAGTGCAGCACGGAGCCAAGCTCCAAGCAGAATGATCCAGAGGGGAGGAATTGCTGGGTAGGGAAGGGGTAGGAGAGCAGCCAAAGCGCCAAGGTGGGATTCGGCGCCTCACCTCGCCGCCGTTGGCGTATTCCATGACGAAGCAGAGGCGGTCGGTGGTCTGGAACGCGTATTTCAGCGCCTGCGACGGGAAAACAGAGACCCGGGAGCAGCCGGAAGGCGCCGTCACACTCGTGCGAACAAGGACTTTTGCTCCGGCCAAAGGAGCCGGAGCCACTCCGGGTCCTGCCGCTTCCCAGCGCTCCCCGAACCTCCTGCCGGAGGCGGCCTCGATCCCGGGGCCGGGATCAGCCTGGCACAGGGATGTTCTCCACAAGCTGGCGGCCCAGCAGAGTTTCCCCAAGCCTTCCCATGCGGAACGAGAGCCAAGGACGGCTCGCGGGCACCGTCCAAGGCGCCACGGCATCAGAAAGGGTCTTGCCAACGATCCCAAAGGGCCTTTGGGATCCCAAAGGGCATCCTCTCCCAGGACGGCGTCCGGAGCGCGCTTACCGTCAGGAACGGGTGCCGGGTGTTCTGCAGCACCCTGCTCTCCGTGACCGTGTGCGCCACTTCGTCCTGCAGGGAGAAGGAGCAGCGGGAAGCGAGACGGAGCGCGGCCCCTTCCCGCTCGGTTCAATGGGACGATCCGCCCCGAGCAGCGGATCCCGACCCCTCTCCCGGCACCTACCTTGGCAATGATGACCTCTTTCCGCAGGATCTTCATGGCGTAGTAGCGCCCGCTGGCCTTCTCCCGCACCAGGATCACTTTGCCGAAGGTGCCTTTTCCCAGGAGCTTCAGGTAGTCAAAATCGTTCATGGTCTGGGGGAAACAGGATGGAGACGAGCGCTCGCGGCGCGGGCCGGGCCAGGACGGCTCCCAGGCTGCTCCTCTGATGGAAGTTTGGGATATTTGGAGCAGCGCCGGCCTGAGGTTTGTCCCGCTGGGCCCTTTTGGCCCGGGGCGGATCCGGAGCGACGGCTGCAGACCCCGGCAGCCGCCTCCGGCCCCCCGTCCCGGGCTCCACAGGAGGCTCCTCGGGGCCTCCGGGCGCTCCCGCTCGGCCTTTCCTGGCTTTTCCAGGCCCATTTGTTGGGAAAGCCCCCCCGGGCGCCTCACCGCTTTGGCGCGCGTCTTGCTCGCCGCCCCCTCCATCTCCTCGGCTCCCGCGCCGTCGCTGGGGGAGCCGCACTTGAAATCCATCGCGTCCGCCGCCGGCTCCTGGTTCTTCAGGCTGTTGGCGACCGTCTGGATGGCGCGCATCCATTCTTCCCTACGGAAAGGAGGGACTCGCTCGGGCACCGTTGTGCTTCCAGGGCCTTGGAGCTCGTGCAGAAGCTATTTTCCATCCATTTTTTTTCCCTAAAGGGCACGCGATGCCCTCTACCCTTCCAAGGCAAGGAGCAGTTGGACAGCTCCAGGCACAGGGAGCAGGAGGCTCCCAAGGGATTCGGATGCCCGGAAGCGCCGGGCAAAGGCCCTGCTTCCCGCCTACCGCTCCTCGGGAGAGTCCACGTGGAAAGTCCTCTCGATGACCGTGGTCCACTGCAAGCAGCGGATGACGAACGTGTTGGGCCGCGGCCGCTCCGTCTTCATCAGCTGGCACTCTGCGAGGAGGAGGAGGGAGCTGGGGGCGCGCGGCGGCACGGAGGGACCCGCGGGGCCGCCGAGCGCCGCCCGTACCCGCCACGGAGAAGTTGTTGAGCGGCGGCCGGGGCTGGGCGGCCGCCCCCGGCGCGCCCCTCTCATGTATTCCCCTGCGAGGGAGGAGGAGGAGGAGGAGGAAGGCGCTGAGCACCCGGCGCCTGCCTCTGTTTGGTCCCTGGGAGCCATTGGACCGGGACGCTCCAGAACCTGCCCCTCTGCAAAAGGCGCTCGGGGCGAGAGGGAAAATCGGAGCCGCCTCCAAGGGCGCTAAAAATAAAACCCGCAGCTGCTGCAGGGCCCGAGCGCCGGCTCCGCGAGCGCTAAAAATACCGGGTCCCTGCGGCCGCT